AACAAGACATTGCATTTTATATGTACTAGTTTTACATACTTATTACTGAAGCTCTAGTCTATAGATTAAGTATCAATCCTCCATGGACCTTCTCTTTTTCTTCTCCTTCTTCTTACTTCCTACTCCCCGGCCTCTCCCATTATTTCCTTAAAGCTTCTTGTCCCTAACATTTTCCTCTTTTCATTTTCTTTTTCTATGTTTGTCAAGTGCATAACGGTCCAGTTTATTCATTCAACTCTTGCAGCAATTAGGAAAAAAAAAAAAAGAAAAAGAAAACCCAACAAAGTTGGCACCTACCCCATTTATTATAAGTATATTCTAAGTTTCTGGTCTGGCACCCAATTTTAATAACCAGTTAAGCCGACGCTTCAGTTTCTTTGATGGCTCTTTCAGTATATATCTGCCAATTACCAAAAACCAATATGCTGACAAGAAACAAAGGGTTATGTCGACGTAACCGTAATTAATTGAGTGGCTGCATCGCCTTTTAGCGTGCTTGTCAGAGTATGCACGTGTTTGTGCCTGTGGGTTTTCCTGACTGTTTGTATGCATATAATTTTCGGCAACTTCATTTCATGGTATGTTTATGAAAGCGTTAATATGTTTTATATTTTCAACATAAACCATTATATATGGAAATGTATTTACTAATATCATGTAGGCAATCTTGCATCTTTCAGAAACTGTCTTTCAAATGTATGTTGCAGTGTTGCAAGGGGAAAAATTAATCATTCACGACCTTTTGATCAAAGGAAGAAAAAAGAATGAAGTTTATGAAAATTGGAACAAAGCCAGACACCTTCTACACAGAAGAGGCTACCAGGTATAAGAAGTGTGACGATGCTTATTTGACAGAATTGTCAACAATCAAAAGCTAAACCTAATAGTGTTGGTAATTGGCAACGCAGGACTGTGATTTCAGACATACCAAGTGATCTTACTATAAGGATTAACAACATTTGTTATCTTCTACATAAGGTACAGTTTATTGGGTTCATGATATAAAGAAAAAATTTGCCTCAAGTAGTGGGATGAAAAATGGTCCTGAGGCCGAGCATTCTTCCTTGATCACACACACACACACATATAAATTATGTATCCTTGCCTTATTCGAATGGTATCTAGCATATGTCATATTTAGACTTTTAGATTCAGCATTTTGGAGAAGTGAAGTCCAGCATATCATATCTGTCAAGAAAACAGCTTAGCAAGAAATGATTTCCCTCAGTGCGCTTCTTTGTGAAAGAATAAGACACTTAGTACACTTGAGTATTATATATATAATCCGGAGAAATTAGTAAGATGTTAGCCTACTTTGACAAGAAAACATGACAGACTTGATGTAGACAGGTCCTTGGTTTTGGAACACACTTAGACTGAAAACATTAGCAAAATAAAGGTACCTGAAATTAGGTAGGAATTTGAATGTGAAAAGGGAAAATGATTCCCTCCTGAGAAATCTAGGCATTTTGACAATATATAAGTTATAAATGTTAATTGTTTTCAAGATTGGTAGATAACTTAGCCTCTTAATTAATCGTGCTATTCTTAGTTGCAGATTCCAGTTCTTCCAAAATGTGGCCTTCTACAACGGCTCTGCTCTGATTCTGATGATTCTGACATTGTAACCATAGACCTTCACGATATCCCTGGAGGTCAAGATGCTTTTGAACTCTGTGCTAAATTTTGCTATGGGATAACAATCAATCTCAGCGCCCATAACTTTGTACCTGCATTCTGTGCTGCTAAGTTCCTTAGAATGACTGAATCAGTTGAGAAGGGAAATTTTGTTCTAAAACTAGAAGCTTTCTTTAATTCATGCATTCTTGAAGGTTGGAAGGACTCGATTGTCACACTACAGACTACAATTAAGTTACCCGAGTGGTCAGAGAACCTTGGAATTATTAGAAGGTGCATTGATTCTGTTGTAGAGAAAATCCTCACAACCCCAGCAAAGGTTTTACATCTATTTTACTACTTGCATATTTTCCGCAGAAAGTATATCCAAAACAGTACTATTAGAAAATTGTTTGCTCTTCAAGGTATATATTAGGCTAATTTAGAACATGACTTCCTGCAGGTTTCATGGTCCTACACTTATACTAGACCAGGGTACATGAAAAAACAACACCATTCTGTCCCAAAAGATTGGTGGACGGAAGACATATCTGATCTTGACATAGACCTGTTTCGATGCATAATTACTGCTGTAAGATCAACCAATATGCTGCCAGCGCAGCTCATTGGTGAAGCTTTGCATGTTTATGCCTGTCGTTGGCTACCAGACACCGCAAAGTCTAGACCCCCACAGAGTTCAGGGTCTAGGACTGAAGAATCTAGGGAAAAAAGCAGGCGAATTCTTGAATTCATTGAGAGCATGATTCCTGCTGATCGAGGCTCAGTTTCAATAGGGTTCTTGTTAAGGCTCCTTAGCGTTGCAAATTATCTAGGAGTGTCCCCAGTAACAAAGACTGAACTGATAAGGAGAGCTGCTCTGCAATTTGGGGAGGCAAGAGTAGGTGATTTGCCATTTCCTTCACAGTTGTCCTCCGATCAACACTTTTATGATATTGACTTGGTTGCAGCAGTATTGGAAAGTTATTTGGTGCTATGGAGAAGACAATCCCCTGCATCTGCAGACAACAGCCACTTGCTTAGATCAATTAGAAAGACTGGGAAGCTTATAGATTCGTATCTTCAAGTTGTTGCAAGGGATGTGAACATACCTATATCCAAACTAGTTTCACTAGCGGAAGCATTGCCAGATAGTGCCAGGGAAAATCATGATGGACTTTATAAGGCGATTAACATTTATCTCAAGGTGAGGCCAATTTAGTAATCAAGTGCCAATTTTACATTTTTAGTAGTTTATGGAGACTGATATGCTGATATGTTTGATGTGAATTCTAATTTGTTTAGTCCTTTGACTCCTTGTGCTTAATTAAAGCATTTAGGAAAGTTAGATTGTTTAATGGTTATGCATGCCTAGTTGTTTTATTTATTCACCCATTCGATGCAAGTGGAGTTTTGGATTATTGAGTTGTGTATTGCCCAAAAAACATATACTAGCTAGTATAAGCACCAAAAAGTTGCATGGTAAAACCACCTGAGAAATGCTTTTTCTTTTTTGTCAACATGGTCCGATTGATTTAAGCAGGAGCACCCTGATGTAAGTAAAGCAGACAAGAAGAGGCTGTGCAGAATGCTAGACTGCCAGAAACTGTCCCCTGAGATACGTGCCCACGCTGTGAAGAACGAGAGGCTACCATTGAGAACAGTGGTGCAAGTCCTGTTTTTTCGAACAAGAGAGTGGTTCCAGTTCCAGGGCAACAGCCACAGGTTATAAAGCCGAGGTAATGGGTAGAGCAAAAGAGCAGGTAAAAGCACAAGCTGAAGCTGCGGAAGAAGAGTGTATAAATAAGGTGCAAGAGGAAGCGAGGCGGAGCAGGGTTCCTGAAAGCAGCGAACGAGAGCGTCAGAAGAGATTGGAGGAAAAGGCGGTGAGAGGGGTAAAAGGGCAGAAGGGCAAAGAAAGGAGAGTTGAAGCGAATTGTGCAAGCAAGGTGGTGGATTCTAAGAAGATGGTGCAAAGGAGTAGTAGACATGGCAAGGAGTCGAATTAATTAATGCTACAATCAAGCCGAATTTCTCTATTTTTCTTATGCTGTATATATATATATATATATATATATTTTTTTTTTTTTTTTTTTTTTTCATTTTTCTACACTTATGTTTGTATATAATTGCATTGCATTCCCATTTGTGGTAGGTTACGAAAGAAAGACCAATAAATTTCTATGTATAACTTAGGGGTACTACTACTGTTTAGTCTACTGTTGTTGAATACAATAAATCGTGAATACGTCGCTTATAGTAGGATTTCGGTTCATGAATTAATTATCAAAACAAATACTTTTTTATTTTCTTTTACAAAAATGAATAAGAAAATTAGTATAAACAATTCTATAAAACCTATTGTATCAATTAAAATTCTAAGATATTTAAAAAATCTATAATTATTTTCAAAACTTGTATTTTAATTGTAAATTATTGAATTTTTTTTTCATTGATTTTAAATTTCAATAAAATTTGTGGATTATGATGATGGCACATATTTTTTAATATATATTTAAAAGAAATAATTAAAAAAAGTAAGATAAGTGTAATAATTTTAAATCTGTTTGTAAAGTTAGTATAATTTTAACTCTATTAGTAAAATTAAAAATTTTATCGTCAGTGTATTAAAAAATTTTTTTTTTCCTAAAAAGCATTCTAAAAAAAGTTTAAAATTTTAATAAAAACAATTTCACTATTAGTTGATACTAAATTTGTATATAATATTAGGGGTGAAAAAAATTAAAAAAATTTAAATTTATTTAAAATTATAATATTTTGTTCAATTTGAATTTATTTTTTATTTGATTCAAATTAAATTATAATATTAAATATGTATTAAATTTGGATTAGATATAGAATAAAAACTAAAAAATCAAACAAGAAATGAACCAAATTGAATTATATATTTTATTAGCTTTTATATATTTTTTAAATTCTTATAAAATAAAAATAATTATTTTATAATTAAATTTATTAAAAATTATATTAAAATAATATATAAAAATAAAAAATTAAATTTAAAAAATTAATAAATCAAATCGAATTATATGAAAATTAAATTCAAATTTAAATTCAAATCATATTTTTAAAATTTAAAATTTTATATATTATCTAAACAAATTAAATTAAATCCGATTGAAAATGATGTCACTCGCATCTAATATGAAATGTATACATACACGTAAAAGCAATTATCAAATCACAATTCTCAAATATATTATATAAAAGCAATATATTATATGTACAGAATAAAACCTAAAAACTTCTTGTTTTTAAATAATAATAATAATAATAATAGTTATTATTATTATTATTATTATTAGTATATAATAATACTTGTCGTATAGTATAGTATAACCCACCTTGGCACATGCCACTTGCCACTTGCCAGTTGGCGAGTCGTCTTGTCCCCTCCGTAATCCAGACTGACAAAGCAAAACACAATACAAAAACACAGTTGGTAACTCGGTTAACACGTTTCAGGATCACAGCCTTGACTGTTCTTCTTCACCTTCCTTTCTCTTCCTCATTTCTCCTCTCTGCTTATTCTGAAAGGTAATCCTTTTTATTTTCTTATTAAAAAGCCCTAAATTTTGTTTTGGTTTTGTTTCATCTGTTGTAACTGCGTGAATCATGTCTGAATTTTTGGTTGGCATTGGAGTTTTCAGATCGTAAACTTAGGTTTGTTGGGTCCTCAATGTGCAAAGCCTTGATAAACTGCTGTAATCATCGGTTTTTTTTTTTTCTTTGAATTGCTATTGCCAATTGCCAAAGATTCATTGCATATTCATAACATCACTTATAAATATAAAAGATATAAGCATCTCACTGGAATTTTACTCGTCTTAGTTTCTTTCTTTCTTTTGATATCTGATATCGAATGCAAAGATACCACTTTACCCTCTTTCACAACATTCTTGCCATATTCAGTTCAACCCACTGTGGCCTTTATTTACTGTCTAATTCTTAGAATGCCGAATATGCCACTTAATGTAAAACTTTCTCTCGCTGTCAATCAATTAGACTGGAGAGGAAGAATCTATGAATCACTTATTTGAGGCAATCAGCTTATTGTGATGCACTGAGTTCACTTTTTGGTTTACAACTTCTAATCCACATAGAATTTCTAATTATGACCGGGAAATTCAGAAGTTCTTTTTCTCTTCTCTTGCGGTCACAAATGCTAATCTTTTGGTCGTGACTTGTCCTATGATATATGAATTGATATTTTGTGGCTCAAAAAGTTTAGGGTATTCTTGTTTTTAGATAAATACAAGCTATGGAAAAAATTTCCTCCTTTTTTGCTACTGGGCAAAAGGTTAATTGAAAGGCTATCTACTATTCAATCTTTGGTCTGGTGTGGAAATTATATTTATTGCTTTTTGCGTTAATAACTTGCCAGTCTCTTGGGTTGTCTTCTTTAAAGTTCTCAAATTTTCAGAGTAGGGTTTTTCTTGTGTGCAGTTATGGAGTATTTTGATGTCTTGAAAAGATCATGGTGCAGTGTCTAGACGGATTAAAGCATTTATGTGCTGCAGTCATTAATTGTTGTTATGCTGATTTATATAAGTAACCTAAGGGTCTGGAAGATCCAGAGGCTCTGGCGACAGAGACTGTGTTCATGTACTTTCTTTGTTATATTTTCGGCAATAATTGAAGAATGATTTCTTTGTTTTATTTGTAGTTTTAAGTGAAGAATTGTTAGGTAAAGTGATGAAAAGCACTAGCATTATTATCTATTCTCTTGTATCATTCAAAAAAGCTTGTTAGATATCAATGAGAGTTCCATATTTCTAAGTTTGGGAGCAAAAGTTTATTTAATCTATCCTTATTGGTTATTAGGATAATTCTGCCTTTTATCTAGATGCTTAATAGTGTTTTCAGAAATCCAGATGCTTACATTGTGGCATTTTTACTTCCTCCATTTCACATACATGGGTAGTTTAGACATTAATGTGAATAGATCTTTTTTTTCTTTTAAATGACTATGTTTATTTTGGAGTAGATAGGGCCATAGGGGTACAATACCTTAATGGATGCTAAAAGTGATGGCTGGCTGATTGGTGAAATTGTATTTTTTTGTGAATGTTTTTTCAATGTTCTCGCCTTTAGTGTCTTCAGATTAAAAGAAACAGGAAGCAAAGATTTGATTTGAAGATACTTCTTCTATCTTATTTAATAGCCAGGAATACCTTTGGTGGTGTGTATAATATAAGGTTGTCTGATGTTGAATGGAAACTTGATAATTTTTTATTTTACTTCTGTTTCTTGTTTAATTTTATTCTGTGATTACTAGTTGTACTTTTTCAATTTTCATTGGAAAAGAGAGATATGGACAGTGCCTTGATATTTACTTTTTCCCTTCAAATGCAGTTAGTATAAGCAAGATTGAAGCCCTGTATGAGCTATTTAAAAAGATTAGCTGTGCAGTGATTGATGATCGGTTGATCAACAAGGTAATTTATCACAACTTCTTTTATATGCTTGTGTTACGTTATTTGCAGCTTCAGCATGAAAATGGACTTTCTGTTTCATCTCAATATAATCTAAAGGCAACCCTTTTAAGCAGAAATATTTCTTTCTAAAAGCTTGATGTGTTTTTAATTTTAGTTTATTTCTCTTTACTTATTTTATGTTACAGGAAGAATTTCAATTGGCAATGTTTAAGAAAGACAAAAGAATAGCTTATTTGCAGATTGGGAATCTTTTTGCTGTGACAATTTGAGTGTTAAATTGGTTTCCTGCTTTTCTCCCCTGGATTTTTGCCCCTTTAATAGTTCTTGCTCCGTGGATATTCTATAAGTTCGACACATACTAATGGTTCTTGACATTGCTATTAAAACTTTTTAGGTATTTGACTTGTTTGACACGAAGCACAATGAAATACTAGATTTTGAAGAGTTTGCACGTGCTTTGTCTGTATTTCACCCCATTGCACCAATTGATGATAAAATTGAGTGTAGGTCTACTTTATATTTCAAGGACTTTATTGCATTTGTAGTTAATATTGAGAAAATGTATAATGTATCCATTAAGGGTAAAGAAAATGAGCTATAGCTTGTGATAAGCACTTGTAACATGTCTCCGTTATTGAGATTTTAGGGCGGACTAACATATGAGTAGAGTTGGCAATTTTGGATACGATACGGTGATATGATATGAAAACGATATAGAAAAAAACGTATGTGTTTTAAAAAATATGTTTCATATTTATTCATATCGATATGAATTTTAACATGACACAATTTGTGTTTTATATGTGTTAACATGTCTAAACATGAGTAAGATACGAAAAATATGTTTAGATAAAGCGTGTCACATGGATACACGTTTTATATGTGATACGATATGAAAAACACGTTTAATTTAATCTTGTCATATGAATACATGTTTAATAATTTTTGACATTTATTTTAATGTAATATAAACATATAAAGATCATTTTAATTTTTAATTTTTTAATTATGATACTTAATTAGCTTTTTGATAGCATATAAAGATTATTTTAAACATTTAATTATTATACTCATTTAATAATTATTATAAAATAATGTTTTATATTAATAATATAAATACAATATAAATATTAATACTAGTCATATGCATTATTTTTTTTTTTAATCTTTATTAGTTCATCATTTTGAATTTGATACTAAAAACTAATATAGTTATGTAATATATATTAAAATTTAAATATATATTAAATACACATTAAATGGGCATCAAATTTTTTTTTTATTTTTAATATGCATGTAAGATGCCAAGTTTATTAAGTTGTAAATGATGGATGGTTTATAGTTATTTATTATTTTAGTCGTGTTTTTGTATATATTCGTATTAATTGTGTCTATTCATATATATTGTGTTAGTCATGTCTGTTCGTGTATTTGTGTTTATACTTGTCGTGTTTAAATGGATTAATTGTATACGTGTTAATCATGTCGTGTCGCATGTAATACGTATAATAAATGTCATGTTTGTGTTTAGGATTTGAACACGTTTTATAATTCGTGTTATGTCGTGTTTTAATAATTCGTGTCATTACACGTATCCAACACAATAAGAAAACATGAATTGCTAGATCTATATACAAGCCTCATCCAAGAGTGCCTACATTATGATATATAATTAAGTTCTATAGTATTAGTCATCTCGCACTTTTTCTGAATTAGCTTTCCTGATTTCATGGAGATGTGCATTTAATGTATATTAAAAATCCCGTTTCGTTCTAGCTTTACGATCTCAAACAGCAAGGGTTCATAGAGAGACAGAAGGTATCTTATTATTGGCTAAATAATAATGGGCAATATATTGCTAAATGCTTAGTTAAGGATGTAACATTTGGGTGTTTTCTCAATTAAAGATATCACCTTTAATTTAGTTCAATTTAGGAGTAAATGTTTTCGGTTTGGTGTGAAAAATGAGTTAGTCATGGCAGTGATTGCTACATGGTGAGTGCTAGAGTGAATGTAATAAATTGTCCTTTGTTGGGGGGTAAAATTGTATTTTTACTTAAAATTTTATTAAAAATAACAAAAAAATACTATTAAAACTTTTTATCTCTAAAATCTGAAAAAGGAAAGGGGTTTTAGGGTTATTTCAAAATACATTGATGGTTTCTCAATCAACTTCACGAGTAGATTGTAACGACAAGAGGATTGTAACATATTTAAGTTTATTAGCTAAAGCTGTAGCTTTGAGGTAGACTTGTTCAAGAGTCGAGTTATCCGTCTAAATTTGAAGGTTTGCTTAAGTTTTCGAAAAGTTTAAATAAAAAATTAAAATTCGTTAAATGAGTTTAGACATAATTTTTAGGTTCATTCAAATTTTGGGTCGAGCTTTAGACAAAAGATTTAAAGATCAAATTCGGTCTAATCCAACTCGAATTCACATATATATAAATTTTTTATTTTTATAAATGTGAATTGTATTTTTACTTAAAATTTTATTAAAAATAACAAAAAAACACTATTAAAACTTTTTATCTCTAAAATCTGAAAAGGGAAAGGGTTTTTAGGGTTATTTCAAAATACATTGATGGCTTCTTCACGAGTAGATTGTAACAACAAGAGGATTGTAACATATTTGAGTTTATTGGCTAAAGCTGTAGCTTTGAAGTAGACTTGTTCAAGAGTCGAGTTATTCGTCCAAACTTGAAGGTTTGCTCAAGTTATCAGAGAGTCTGAATAAAAAATTAAAATCCGTTAAATGGGTTTAGACATAATTTTTAGGCTCGTTCAAATTTTGGGTCGAGCTTTGGACAAGAGATTTAAAGATCAAATTCGGCCTAATCCAACTCGAATTCACATATATATAAATTTTTTATTTTTATAAATGTGAATTATATAAATTAATACACGTATATATAAAAATTAAAAATAAAAAGTATATATGTTTTATTAAATTTAATTTTTATTTTAAATTTATATATATAATTTATATTTTAATTTTTATATATATGTGAATTAAATATAATCTCATTAAATTTAATTTAATCACTTTTTTAGTTTTTTATTATATAAATTAAGTTTAATAGGTGGGTTTGGAATTTATTGTTTTAATTTGGTTGGGTTTGTAAAAATTTTGAGTTCTGAAATATCAAGTCAAGTTAAACCTAAACAAGTATATAAGCTATTAATATCAAACATTAGTTCAATCCGTATCCGGTCCAAACCATAAACACCTCTACTTTGAAGGAAGGTGTGAATCTGGCCAGGAATGGTTATAGGAAGATAGCGTTGGAAACCGATTCTGAAATAATCTACATCAAATTGGAAAAAGCTGACAAAGAAGAGCAGTGGAAGGTAGGTCCAGTCAGTAGAGATATTAAGGCATTGAATAAATGGTTTGAAGGATTCAAAGTAAGATGGGTGAACAGAAACTAATAAAGCTGCAGATTGGGTTGCTACCCAAGCCAAGAAGGGGATGTGCATGAACAACTGGGTTTCTCTGCCCCTATTCTCATTGGTTTTCATTCTTAATAGTTCATTAAGAAGAGTTCATTAAGATGAAAATAGAAAAGTTCTCCAGTTAACAGAATTTTGAAAAATGAAAATGTTAGAAATGAAAAAAAAAAAAAAGGAAAAAAAAACACCCAAATGTCCATAAAATGCTTATAAGTTGAAGAGAAAAAAAATGGAATTAGAAAAAAGTAGACTAACCTTAAACACTAAATGCTCAAAGAACTCATTTCAAAAGGATTTGATTTTTGGATACTTTTTTTCCAACATTCAGGATTAATTTTTGAAATTTCAGTTTTTTTTTCTTTTTTTATCTGAAAATTAATAAGGAATATGATTTTGGTATGATAAAAAGAATAACTTGATGGCATAATTGAAACGCTAGTATACTTAATGGCGCGTGGCAATCACTGCTGTGATGGACTCTTTTTTTGCAGTAACCTGAAAATGTTTACTCCTAAATTGAATCAAATAGGTAATTTCCTTAATTGAGAAAATACATAAACACTTATTGGAGCATTTAGCCGCAATATATATGACCTACATAGTTGTTTCTTGCAATGTATTATGTTCTATATTTTCTGAGACTTCTCTGAAGTACCATGACTGTAAATCTTTAATGTATAGTTAAAGCAAATGGTAGCAGCTACGCTTGCTGAATCTGGTATGAATCTGTCAGATGATGTTATCAAGAACATTATTGACAGGGTGCTTCCTTAATTGATTGTTTTAAATTTTCGGTTGAGCAAGCATGTTGTTATTTAGCTATTCCCCTAATATAGCTATTCGGGGCTGCCTTTTTGTGTTTGCCTTCTCTGATTTATATTATACTAGTGGAAGATTACTTGTTCATCAATCTACTCATAGACATGTTCCTTGTTATCATTCATTTTTTTGCTTTTTTCTTGGATATGTTTAAACTAATAGTTTGAAATTTTAATTCCTATTCATATATTGGTAACTTGGAAAGCTTTTTCATGTGTCGAAGGAAGCAATTATTAGGGAAAATGAAGTTTGAAGGACAATGTAACTCCTTAGTCGTACTATTTTGATAACATTCAAATATGAAGAATGTCACTATTTTGCTGTTAGATACAAAGAGTTGCGGTGTTTAAACTGAAATATGAATGGAGAAGCTATATTCATGGTGCTAAGTTACATCTTACAAAACACCAGTTGGGTTTAAATTTATGCTGGTTTTAGGGTTTTTGATAGATAATGAATTACATAACGCTGCAGATCTGACTGATGTTTAGAAGTAGTGTAAGCACACCTCATTGCTGCTTTTAGTGTTGACTTCATGAACTAATTAATTGATTTGCATGTATGGTGGTGTAACTATATTTCTCCTAAATTTGTTTATTTTAGACTTTTGAGAAAGCTGATGCTAAACATGAAGGAAAGATTAAGTGACAAGGAAGAGTGGCAAAGCCTTGTTTTGCAGCATCCTCTGTTGAAGAATATGGCTCTTCAATATCTCAAGTATGTAATATTAGCACTTCTTGTAAGACAAAACCTTAGCTAGTGATGTAACTTTCTCCATGTTGATATTTGGTTAATTCCTTTGAGGTAATATGATAAATGACACAGAATTTGAAAGCAAAATTATGCCTCTTGTTATTTTCCTCCAGTAGCAGGAGCGTATAACATGTTTAGTTTAGGGCAACAAAGGTGTGCGACTCTCCTTCAATTTACTACTCTATTTAGACTGTATATGTAACACCAGTTTCGATAATTTGCTGAGCAGAGACATCACCACTACATTCCCAGGTTTTGTTTTTCACTCACAAGATGATACCTGAGGTTGGGGCCCAGTTGGAGTTTGTTGTAGGTGCAATGAGGTTTTGTGGGCTAGCGGCAATGTGGAAAGGGACGGGTCAGAGTTTGAGAGAATGGCGAATTTTTGGGTTTCAAAGAACTCATGTCATGTGCTTTTCCCTCTTTGGATAGATGAAGTTTTGTAGCTTGAAAAAAAAAAAAAAAAAGGGTTGCCCTTGCTAATATTTGTTGTTAACTTGCCTGTTTATTGAGGAATTTTGCATGATTTCATTGATGAAAGAGAAGAGGGGGAAGTCATGCATGGAAACAACCACGAATGGCGAATGATGGAATGTTTGGTATTGTTTCATTGATATGCCATCATAATTGTTTTGATAGTCTGCCACTGCCACTGCCACCGCCACTAAATAAACAAGTAAATCAAAGAGTAACTAGCCTAGGACAGGAGGAGCAATTACGTCATTACTGTGGGTGAGTGTTGCAAAATATTGGAGTCCTTTATGATATTAGTGGTAAGTTAGGGGCGGTTTTTATTGTAAGTTTTTTAATTTTACAATAAGGTCAGTTGTTAATAATCAATAAATTTATATAGTTAAATATCAACTATTGATTAAAATTTAAAATAAAAAAGGGATAAAATCTGTTTATCAAGTAATTAGATTGCAAAACAAAATTTATAAAATCTTATACAAATATATTGACATCATAAAATTTAATTAATTATTGATCTTGTAAATATATATATAAAAAAACTAACTAAATACTAAAAGCAAATTGATAATGTAAATAAGTGAGAAATGTAAAATTAATTTTATTTTACGTAAAATGGGTAAAAAATCTCGTAATACACTAAAAAATAATTATGACAATTTTAAGCGTAATGAAAAAAAAAAATCATAAAAATATAGTATTATAATATAAATAATTATGATAGCAATATAAAGTTTTAACTAATTATTGTTTTTGTATATGTAAGAAAAATAGCTAAAAATTAAAAAATAAATTAATAACATAAATAAGTGAGAAGAAACGTAAAATTAGTATAATTTGATATAAAATAAGTAAAATTTTTTATAACACGTTAAGTAAAAGTTATGGCAATTTTAAATAGAATGAAAGATAAGAACAATCGTAATAAAATATTATTGTAATATAAATAATTATGTTAACAATATAAAATTTTAACTAATTATTATTTTTTAAAAATATATAAGAGAAATAGTTAAAAATTGAAAAATAAATAGGTAATGTAAAAAAGTGAAAAAAAAAAGTAAAATTAATATAATTTGATATTGAATGAATAAAAAAAGACGTAACACTAAGAAAAGTTATAATAATTTTAAATGTAGATAAAGGTTGGAACAATCATAACTATATATATTCTATTGTAAATAATTAAGTTACCAATGTAAAATTTTAATTAATTTTTTTATAAATATAAAAAATAGCTAAAATTAAAAAAAAAATATTGGTAATGTAAACAAATGAGAAAAAAAAGTAAAATTAGTATCATTTGACATAAACGAGGTATAAATTGTTGTAATACAGTAAAAAAGAGTTATAATAATTATAAATGTAATGAAAATTAAAAACAGTCATAATAATATATTATTACAATGTAAAATTTTAATTAATTATTCTTTTATAAATACATAAGGAAAATAGCTAGAAATTAAAAAATAAATTAATAAAGTAAAAAAGTAAGAACAAACATAAAATTAGTATTATTTGACTTTAGGTAAAAAATGTCATAACACATTAAAAAGAAGTTATGACAATTCTAAATATAACAAAAATTAAAAAATCATAAGAAGATATTATTATAAAATAAATAATTATGTTGATAACATAAAAGTTTAATTAATTAATGTTCCTATAAATATATAAGAAAAATATATAAAATTACAAAACAAATTGATAACGTAAATAAGTGAGAAGAAACATAAAAATAATATCATTTGGATGGATTAAAAGTGTAATAACACATTAAAAAAAGTTATAACAATTATAAACATAATAAAAAATAAGATCAACCGTAAAAAATATATTATTGTAACATAATTTATTATTGTTGTTACAAATATATAAGAACAATAGCTAATAATTAAAAAACAAATAAGTAACATAAACAAGTAAGAAAAACATAAAATTTATATTATTTGATGTCAAATTGGTAACAAAGAGATATGACAATTCTAAACGCAATATAAGGTAAGACTAAACGTAAGAAAATATTATTGTAACATAAATAATTAAATAGATAACATAAACTTTTAATTAATTATAATTTTTATAAATTTATTAAAAAAAGCTATAAATAAAAAACAAATAAGTAATATAAACAAGTGAGAAAAACGTAAAATTTGTATCATTTGTCGTAAAATGGGTAAGAAATGTCGTAATACACTATAAAAAAGCTATAACAATTCTAAACGTAATGAAAAATTAAAATAATTGTAAAAAGATATTATTATAATATAAATAATTAAATAGGTAACGTAAAATTTTAATTAATCATTATTTTTGTAAATATTTAAACAAAATAAGTAAAAGTTAAGAAATAAATAAGTAACGTAAACAAGTGAGAAATATTATAAAATGAATAAAAAGTATTGTAATACATATTAAGAAAGAGCTATAATAATTCTAAATATAATAGAAGATAAAAACAATTGTAAAAAAATATTATTGTAATATAAATAATTAAGTAAATAACATAAAATTTTGATTAATTATTATCTTGTAAATATATAAAAAAAGCTAAAATTAAAAAATAAATAAATAGGTAATGCAAACAATTGAGAAAAAGTATAAAATTTGTATTATTTAACTTAAAATGAATAAGAAGTATCATAACATAATAAAAAAAGTTATGACAATTCTAGACTTATTAGAATATAAGAATAATCATACAAAATATTATTATATTACAAATATTTAAGTTGGCAATGTAAAATTTTAATTAATTATTGTTTATGTAAATATATAAGGAAAATACCTAATAAATAATAATAAATAACTTAAATATGCGAGAGAAAATATAAAATTCTTATCATTTGATGTAAAATGTATAAAAAATGTCTTAACAATGAACAATTATGACAATTCTAAATATAATGAAATGTAAAAACAATTATAAGAAAATATTTTTGTAACGTAAATAATTAAATCAGTAACGTAACATCATATTTTAATTAATTAATATTTTTGTAAATATATTAAAATTTATTAAAATACATATTTGTGTAATAATATTTTTCACTGCATAGTAAAAATATTTTTGCAGTAGTAAAAAGTGTCACATTTTGATCAAGTGATGTTTCAAATATACTAAATGTTGTACAAAAAGATATCAAAATTTGCAATTAAAGTATTTATGAAAAAATTCATACAAATAATAGAGCATAATGGTAACTTTCACTTTTATGATTTATGTTAATGAATTTTTAAGACTAGAAAGAAAAATCATACAAATAAAATCATAAAATATATAATAGAAATAACTAAAAAACAATTTTAAGATTAAAAAAGACAATATAAAATAATTGATATTTTAAAATTAAAAAAATAAAGAATTATTAAGATGAATATTAAAATTTATATTAATTATTGTTGTAGTATTGTTATTTGTTAATAATGAGGAAATAACAAAATATTATTTGTTAAGATAATATATAACATAACTATAGTTGAATATTTATTTTAATGTTATTGTTTATAGATGAAAACAAGTATAAAATATGTAATATATAATTTTTTTATTTCTTAGAAAAATAAAACAATTAAAATTATTTTTATATTTTTTATTTGACCTGTTAAGCTATTCTACTATTTTTTATTTTTTTTTATTTTTTCTATTTCTCATGAAATATCATGATATCTTATGACCTTATAATAAGGTTGATAAACTATGACTTTACTCTAGACAAATCCGGTAAGTTAGGCTTATGTATGTTGATGCAGTCTTTTACTTGAGTCTAAAAGCTCCAGTCGATGTCATCGGGTAGAATATAATAATAATAATAACAACAATAATAACTCAAGTAATGTTGACCGTATTTTTGGACATCATCATAACAGAGCCTAGCCCCAGAGGGCACGACATCTTCATCTCAACAGACAACAGAAGAGAACACAACACAAGCTTTCACTCTTCAATGCTGGTTAGGCTTGCTCCATTATATTTTTTGCAACTATTATTATTATTAGCATAATACCCGTGTGTTGTTGCGGGTCAATTTTTTTTTTTTTTTTGCTATTTTTACTTATAGCTTTTTATTGTAAAGTTCACTTAATTAAAATATAAAAAAAAATCAAATGAAGTGAATATCTTGATTGGTTTTATTTTCATAAAATTTTGATAAAAAATAAAAATAACAAAGTGAAAAGTGAAAAGGTAAAAAATAAAAAAGGAAAAGGAAAAAAAAAACTCATAGAGAATACCTAATGAGTTTAAGATATTAATTTTTTAAATTAAAATATCAAATAATTAGTTTATTAATATAATATATAAAATTAATAATAAGGACAAACACGAGGCATACCTTTCATATTAAGTGAGTCTCATATAAAAAAAGCTAAAATCTAAAAATAAAAAAATTAAATCTGATGAGACATCGATACCCTCATTATTATCAAATTTTTAAAAAACCATCAAATGAAAAAAGAAGAAAATTTATGAAGAAATATATATTTTTAATCATAATATCATATGGGACTAAATTTTTTTAAAAAAATATTTCAAAATGTTTATTAAAAAAATGGGAAACAATGCAAATAGGAAAAATATTAAAAAGCAAAACAAAAAAAGAATAAAATTGCTTTACACGTGAGATACACTTGATATCAAGTGAGTTATAATAAAAAATATTTATAAAATATTTTAAAAAGTATTTTTTTTATATGTTAACACATTCATTGACATTATTTGCTTACAAAATTTATGTAATTTAAAAATAAATGAAAAAAAGCAAATAAAATAAAGAAAACAAAAAAAAAAAACCGCTTTACTATCAAATTGAGCCGGTTTGAAATCTATAAAATATAAATTGTTTTGGCATTTTTATCGATAAGCTCATTTTGTCACAAAAATTGATCTAACTAAAAAAAACAAAAGAGAAGAAAAACCAAAATTAGAGTGCCACTTGAACAACTCTATTGAGTTTTTTTGTACAAAATTTATCTAAATTAAAAAAATAAAGTTGCAAAAAAAAGAGAAAGAAATAAAAAGTGCAATGTCAACACCTTAAATGAGGATCAAACCAAAATAAAAATGAATAAATTTTATATAATAGATATATGCATGGATAAGTGGTCTATATATTAATGTATAAATATAATACTTTTAATAAATCATGATATTAAATAAAAACTTTATTAATAAAATACATATATAAATATAAAATTAAATAAATATTTTAAAATATAAGATTAAATAAATCAAAATCTATCGAATACAAACCTCACATATAAAAAAATGAAAAAAGAAAAAATATGAAGTCAAAATAGTAAAGTTTATAGAGTTGATGGATGGATGGTTTATATCTTAATTATAAATAAATATAGTATTTTTATTAAATAAAGATATTAAATAATAACTTTATTAATATAATATATATAAATATAAAGTTAAATAAATATTTTAAAATATAATTATATATATTTGGTGTAAGATGAAATATCTTAAATTCGTCTCCGATTTGACTTTTATTTTTGAAAAAAATTTGATCTAATCCCAAATAAAAAATGCACTTTATTGGATCCAAACAAATTAAAACCAAATGTACTTTATTGGATCCAAACAAATTAAAACCAATCAAATGCCTCATACGTAGAAAGATAAAAAAAAAAAAAAATTTATCAATAATATCAAATGGGTTCCACACCCAATATAAAAAGGAAAAAGAAAAAAATATAAAAACATATTATAAAATATTTAAAAAGGAAAAAGAAATAAATGCATTGGAGTATGATATAACACCCCCTCAAACTTTTGTACATATGCAAGATTTAAAATATAAACAAAGAAATGATGAAAACAAAAGATGCCAAATGAAAATGACGTGTGAATTTATTAGATTAAGGTATTAAATAATAATAATATTAATATAATACATATATGTAAATATAAAATTAAATGAATTATAAAATATACATTTATAAAATGAATTTCTTTTTAAAAAGGAAAAAAATAAAGAAAGCCACCTAAAAGAAACAAAAATCAAATCTCATTTTGATGGTGACATTTCATAATATTTTTTTCATAAAATTATCAAATCAAAAAAGGAAGAAAGGAAAAAATATTTTTTTAATCAATAACATCAAATGGGACTTACTAAAAAAATTTATAAAATATTAAAATATTTCTTAAATATATATTAAAAACAAAAAAATGAAAGAAAAATTAAATAGAAAAACAGAAAAAGGAAACAAATTACTTAACACGTGATATACTTTTAATATAAAATGAATCGCATAAAAAATTTTTAAAATTTTAAAATATTTATTAATATATCAAAAAATAAAAAAGTATGTGTCAGACCTTGATATTTATTAAACATCTTTAAAAAAATGTTTATAAAAAATTTTAAAAAGGAAAAGGAAAAAAGATTGGTTTAAAATGAATCCAACTTAAAAAAAATTAAATCTAAAAGATATTTAATTTAACAAAATCTTAAAAAGTAAAAAAAAGAAAATTACAAAAGGTTAAAAAAGACAAGAGAGTGCCACATGGCATTCCCAAGAGAGGGCATTATGTGTTGAATGTGAATCTCCGTCTGTATGCAAAATTTAAAATATATGAAAGAAGAAAGTCAAATGAAAATGGCATGTAGATTTATTATATTAAAGTATTAAATAATAATTTTATTAATAATATATATATATAAATATAAAATTAAATGAATAATAGAATATATATTTATATCATGAGTTTTTTTTTTTTTAAAAGAAAATTAAAAAATTTGACAAAAAAGAACAAAAGTAAATTCTAACGTGATGACAATACCTTTGTAATATTATTTTTTAGAAAACTATCAAATAAAAAAGTAAAAAAAAATATAATCAATAAAATCAAATGAGCCTAAAAAAGTAAATTATTAAAAAAATATAAATATTTACAAAAGGAAACATGAAAGGAAAAGTAAGTAGAAAACCATAAATAAATAAATAAAGAAACAAAGAAAAAGGAAGCAAACAACGTGACACGCGATATAAGTTTGATATTAATTGGATCATATGAAAAAATTTAAAAATCTTTAAAATATTTATTAAATATATAAAAAAATAAGAAAAAAATAAACACATGATACTCCTTTGATATCAAATGAATCCCATTAAAAAAGAATTTAAAATCTTTAAAAAGTTTTTATAAAAAAAAGAAAAAGAAAAAAAATACAAGGGGTCTTTCTTAAAAAATTAATATAAAAAACATTTTATTTAAAAAATCTTGAAAAAAATTTAAAAAAATATATAAAACAAAAATAAGCATAAGATCACCACAAGGCAACTTAAAAAATTAGCACTGTAATTGTACATTTGCAACTTTAATTGTATGGTTCTTTTCATTTCGACATATTTATTTAGAAATAATAAAATATTTAAAAATTATAATATAATAAATTTAAAAAAATAATGAATCAAAAAATAAAAAATAAAATAGAGTATTATAAAGTTTTAAATCAAATATGAAAATGCATTTGCTTGGAGTGGGAACATGTAAATTAATTGTTGTTCATGAAACAATTTCATAAATGAAATTATTTTTTTTATCAAGAGGGACTGAATTAACTCTTATTTATGAAAAATAATAGCTTTAATTGAGGGCAATGTAAGCCTAAAGTAATGAGCAGTGTCGACAACCACAACTTCAAAAGCCTATTCCATGACTTGCTTGGTATTCTTTTGTTCGCCTTTCATAATCCATTTTAGATCTTTTCCAACTCACTATAATCTAATATAATGCCCTATTTAAAAAACTTATCCAAAAAGCATGATAAAAAGTAAAACTAAAATGTAGTAAAGTCATTGAAACATAACAAAAGGAACAATAAACTTCACATAAAGCACAAAGAAAAACGAAACATAAAACAACAAAATCTACATGCATACAAAGATCGATAAACTAAATCCTCTTGATGCCTTGAAATGTCAAATACACGCCTCCAACAAACAAAATGAAATTAGTCCCTAGCGAACTTTGCCATGGAAATCCATTTGATTCATTGTTAAATTTATGATGTCACAAATTTTTTTTTTTTAATATCTAATGAAGATTATAAGTATGCTTAATTATATCTAGAAAAGCATAAATAAGATGATAAAGAAGTTAGTACAGTACTAATTCTATTTGATCTAGTCATTGACTAAAAAAAGCACATGCATCCATATTACATTGATTAAAAGTCTTTAAGATATAAAAATAAAGTCATAATATCCAAAGTAAAAAAAAAAAAAAACAAAAAAGGGTAAAAGAGTAAATATGCTAGAAGGAATTCATGCATCCATATTTCTAGGTTGCTTTTTTTTTTTTTTTTATAAAAATTATATAATCTAAATATTTGGTTAACGATTTAATTGATGTATCATTTGCATATCATTAATGTAAAAAATATGTAATGCATAACAATATAATATTTCATCACATGAAATTTGATATATACAACTTAAACAAAAATTTTACCAAATTCAAATAGACAGATAATTATCAATTTTAATGATTGTCAATTTTAAAAAGGATTATGAAAAAATAAAAAAAGAAAAATTTGTGAATAACTTGATTCCATTAATAATATTGAATGATTGCAATATAGAAAAACGATATTTTCTTTATCTATTAAATGTTAAAATGTAAAAGGAATTTCTTGATCTATGAACACATACATTTCAATTTTTTTTTGGCAAAATTGAAGTTGATTGCAATATTATTATTATTATTGTTGTTGTTGTTATTGTTACTGTTGTTATTGTTTTTGTTGTTTTGTCATTATTATGATACAAAAAATTATATATTTCAAATTATTTATACATGAGATCATTCTTTCATAAATCTATGATAAATAATGAAATAAACATTTTCTTATGAGCTTTGAAGCTTTTTTAATTTGAATTTTATGTATAACAATTGAATCAACAATGAAGCTGCTA